TATCTATCTATCTATCTATCTATCTATCTATCTATTTATTTTTATATACCTTTATATACCTCTATCTCTGTCTGTCTGTCTGTATATTTTTACACATTTTTCATCTTCTCATATAGTTATTCCTATTATTCTTTCCATGTACTTATTTCTAAACAATACATCTTCGATCCTTCTATCCTTCTATGTACATATGTTTCTCTTATTTATCTTATTCAGTACTATTTTATTTACAGTCCATCTTACATTTCCTCCCCTCTTGTTAATTATGCGGTTTTATGATTGTTTTCTAATTTCTTAAACTTCCCACCCACCCCTTTATTGCTTTCTTATTATTTGCATCTTCCCTCTAGCCGTTTGTGCCATAAATTCCATACTGAGTAATACAGATTCTTCTTTATGTTTTATTTCTTTCGTGAGTCAGTTCAGCGCATTCTAATATATACATTTTTATCGCGTTTTCTTCTGTTGGTGTATTTTTGTTTTTCCAATTCTGCGCGCCGATGATTCTTGCTGCCGTTATGACGTGTAATATTAAGTATTTGATTTTCTTCTGAGACAGAAATCATGTTTTTTATGCTGCCTCTCCAGCTTCCCTATTTAGGAATAAATTCCTTATTTAGCCCATAGATTTCCATCTCTGCTTTCTGCCAACAGATGGCATCGAAAGGCAAATAGCAAAATAAAAAGAGCCATTTAAGAAACTATGCGAAAAGATTGGATTTCGAAGCGTTCACGTGAATATTATCTGCCCCACCACAGGTGGTCCTCAACAGTTCATTTAGCGACAATTCAAAGTTACGACGGCCCCGAAAAAAAAGTAACATTTATGGTCGTTTTTCACATTCGCGAGCTTTTTAGCAACCCCGGGATCGCTCGATCCAAATTCCGACGCGTGGCAACCGTTTCGTGCTTACGACCGCTGCTACGTCCCGGGGTCGCCTGATCCCCTTTGGACACCCGGAATGAATGAGGAAGCTGGATTCACTTAACAACCAGGTTACTAATTGAGCATCTGCAGTGATTCACTTTATTAAGAACTAGATGATAACCCAGCATTGCCCGGGTATTTATTTATAGGGGGGAAATGTCTCGACCAAACGCCATTTCTAACGTTGGATTTTTCCCTCTTACCAGAGGGAGCCCCCTTGTGGGGTATTGTGAAGCCATTACCATGGCAACTCCACGGCGCTGTACAGTAGAAGCCCTTTTTAAGGCAGTACGGTAGAAGCCATTTTAAGGCACAACAGGTTGTATCTTAACAGAACCCACACCCCTAGGAGTGTTAGGGGTGCCTTACCCCCACAGTATTTTTTTCCAGAGAGGAAGTCATCTGTGTACCAATTTAATTGTTCCAGGAGTTCCGGAGTTATGCTGGAACACACGCACACAGCCATTTTTAGATAGATGGATGGATGGATGGATGGATGGATGGATGGATGGATGGATGGATGGATGGATGGAAATGAGCTCATAAAAGG